GATAGAAAATTATTTGTGTGCACTGTTCAGAGAGCAGAACAGTGCACACAAATAATTGTGTGCATAAACAAATATACCCTTCTCCACCAATATCACTGTGAGGGACATATTTAACTTTTCAGGGACCTGAAAGCATGAGGCTCGTTCAGGTTTGGAGGTAGAAGCAGCTTTTGGAATTAAAGTGTCCACCTTTAGCAGCCGGAGAGAAGACCTTTGGCACAGTTTGTAATGCTGTTGACCATGAACTGTGGACTCCACGTTTAGTCTCAGCGAGTAATGAATACAAACCAGACCTACTGCCATCACACTCACGAAAGCTGGGTAGGTTTTAAATTGTAAACATGAACTACAGCAATTTGACTTTACTTCGGCTAACTTAGCTAGCTAGCCTTTCAAAGTGTACTGACAGCTATGACACAGGGGTTTTTTTTAGACCTTTGGACACAGCATGAGCACAAATAAGCCCGACAGTCCCCAACACCTCGGATTTTGATCCAACTGTCCCAATGAGAGCAGAAAAGTCCCAGCTTAAGGTTTTAGATGGACCGCACTGAAAGAACCGAAATCTTGGTTTAGGTAATCGTGCTAGCCTCTCCGCTACACAGCGCCGTTTCTCGCTGTTTTACAGAGCAGCAGGGTGATAAACTGCTAAAAATAAAGTAAGATTACCTTAGTCATGCCAACTCCTATGACAAATACTCTGTTCTTCTTTCCAGGTGCCATGGTGCTTCTCTGAGTCCACTCACACAAGTGACGTGAAAATCCGTGAACACGGCGTAGTAACTGGGACATAAACGATCTTCAGCGTGGTGGCTCCTGATGTGACCAATGAGAGCCCGCGGTGAGGAACATAAACACGGAGAGAAGCGGGCCTGACAGCAGCGGGTACAGCAAAGATCGTCTATGCACAAGTAGGTGTGTCACTCTGTGGGAATACAATACCATTAGTAATAAGTTAGAATAAAGCTCTTAAACATCTAAACAAAAGCGACTTTTCTATAAATATGCGTCCTCAAACATAACGTCCACCAGATTGATAGCACTGCATATATATACAACTACCATGAGGTTTTTTTTATGGTTAAATATTGGAAGTTTAAGAACTCACAAGCCTGTGTCCCCTGTGATCATTTGACCTTTATCGTTTGCGTTATCTGATTACTTTTTGTAAGGCGTTATCGGACTAAATTGTTATGCTATGTTGCTATATCGTTATGCCAAAAAGTCATTTCCGATATTTAAACCGTTGTAAATGACTTTCTGGCCTATAGTCCATCAAAAATCCCTCTCATGTTTAATAACAAGTTATTTTGAGCTACATCCTGTCACAAGGTAGAAACTGGAGTTTTTCAACAAACTAATGCTTATATATCCTTTATTTATGCACGATAAAATGTGTCATTGATATTAAATATGTCTTTTTTAAGAGCGATGTGCAGAAACAAATATATCACAATTCTACAGTTATTTTAAGTGGTCAAAAGGGTTATATCAATGCAAAGTCATAACGATGCTTGCAAAAAGGTCTTTTTTTAAATCTTATATTTAACCCCTTTAGAAATCCTGTTGACTACAACCTATTTACAGACATAAGCAAAGACGTTAGACGTAAAAAAACACAAACATCAGTTTTTGACACAAAGCAGCCTTATAGTTAGGTTTTGTTTTACTTTTACATATCTAGATAAGTCACTTTAAGGGTAGCTTTTTATTATTTCAAAAGTATACGCATGTGCAGATATTAAGTAGCAACTGTTCACACTGAACCACGCGTCTACTGTGAGATAAATCCTGACAGGAGAAATTAGTTGGAAGTTTGCAGCACTCTGCAGGTACAGTAAGACCTCTTCAGTGACTGATACTTTCTTTTGATAAATTCACCCACAATGGGTCCTTGTCTCAATCTGTATTGTTTATAAAGTCCAATTTAACACAAGAAAAGGATTTGTATGTTTTCCCGGGAGAAGGCCCCGGGGCAGACCCAGGACACGCTGGAGAGATTCTATCTCTCAGCTGGCCTGGGAACGCCTTGGTGTTCCTCCGGACAAGCTGGAGGAGGTGGCTGGGGAGAGGGAGGTCTGGGCTTCTCTGCTTGGGCTGCTGCCCCCGCGACCCGGCCCCGGATAAGCGGAAGAAAATGGATGGATGGGATGGATGTTTTTCAAGTAGAGTTGCGTCTTAATTTAATTCCCAAGGTTTAACGTTACTTGTCTTTTTATTTAACTCTGAAGTGAGTCATACATAATTATCTCTTAATTACACAAAATGTGTGGAGGACATTTCAAAGTGTATTCTCCATTAGCATCTTTAGCATATTATGTGACATACCTCATACTACACATCGTCAGTCTTGTATTGCTGTTTGAGGAGCAAAAGAAAAGAAAAACCTCAATTCAAAATGTTCATCCTTCATTTTTATTGAGGGACTGAAAAAAAAAAACAACCAAAAAAAACCACCATCCTCTTAGCATGTTGATCAATCCAAGACACGTGTACAACAACCTGTTGCCTTAATCCGCACACCTTAATGTTCATCGTCAACCAAAGCGCCGATCACATCTCCGTGTCGAGGCATTCCCCGTCGCCAGGAATTGGGGCAGAGGAAGTTTTCCTGCAGTGTTCCTCTAAGGCTCAATGCATGGTGATATCAGCACTTGATGAACTGGTGTGTGACCTCATATATCCCCACAGACTCACTAATTTTCTCATCGTAGTCGGTCCAGTCCTGAAATGTTTTTGTTTTTAAAAACATGAGCGAGAGAAAGAACTGTAGGGATTATTTTCAGATAAAGTGCAGTGATTTTCACGAGTTCAGTGAAGATAAATGAAAGAGCGCACTACCACAGGAAATCAATCACATATCAGTGAATTGTATCCTGCTGTGCTAAACAAACAGCTGAAAGTCTGCTAAAGGTCAAGTTTACTTTCTTGCAGTGAGCGATTTAATTTCTCCTGTGCTTACTTTTTCTAGCAGGTTGATTTCAGGAAACGGCGTTCCAGACTCGGCTCCTTCTGCAGCAAAGCCAGCCTGGAGGAGGGTATTACAACAAGTCAAAGTCACGCCATTATCACAGTGTTACCTAGAACACACTACCAGATTGCATAGATAGCATCAGCTTCATTACATAACATAAAAGATAGAGCGAAAGAGGTTCTTGCAGGGTTGAACCCTGACACACTGTCACAGGCAAACAGCACTGGTGTGCTGGACATGTGCTCTACAAAGCAAGCCCAGATTTGGCCGATTACCCTCTCCAAATGTTTATGACATCAAATATTGTAACCTCAACTTTTTTTATTACATTGTTGTAATAAACGGGCAAAAAGGTGATCCATCAAAAACCTTTTTTCATACAGGATAAAAATGAACCGACATCAACTAACATCTGGATGACAGTTCTGGTGGAGAGTGGCTCTGGCTTCATGGATGATGACACAATCTGGGTTTTATCTCCTCCAGTTTATATGGACAGTTGTGGAAATAGGACAACAAAGATTCTCACTTGTGGCTGGAAATCAACGGGCTCCAGACCTCGACACTCGAACTGCACCATCGTCTTGAAGGTTTCGCTGTTCTCGGCCTTCAACCCAGCAGACACGACACAACATTAGAGAAAGAGAAACTGAAAAACCTGAGAACTGACCGTGGACGTTTGCTTACATTGTAAGGTGTGATTGTGTCTCCCAGAATATCTGTAAGGAAAAAGTTGACATTTCGTAAGCTTTTAACTCTGCAAATTAAGACAAGATGAGCCGGACGTCATGTCACGGCCTACCGATGGAATTTTCCCTGGAACAGAGTTTACACTTCTGCACCATGCTGGCGCTTCCTCGTCCTCCCTTGAGTGGCACACTCTCCTGTGAAGGCAAACACAAAGTACAGGTGGTATATTATATACGTGCAATTCTATAATAATAATAATAATAATAATAATGTTAAACTGAATAGAAAAATTGCCCTTTCTTCCTTACCACCAGAGTTACATACTGCCATTTATCTGGAATTTCTCCACAGTTTCCACACTTGAGCTAAATTTAAGACAAAACAAACAAGAAACACATAAATGATCTTTTAAAAAATAATGTTTACATGTTTCATTATTTAGTGAGTATGTGTCAGCATTACACATGGTTAAATTAAGGAAATGATCAAAGATTAGCAGAGAGGGAAAGTGCATGATATTTTATTATGGATGAAAACAGTTTAGCATGTTAGCTTCTCATACCTTCAGGAACCAGCGGAAGTCGTCCCCCAATGGTCTAACATTGGTTACGTTCTCCAGGGTGGCTTTAAACTGCAGTCCAAATTTCTGCCGTGCACAGGACAGAATAGGTGGTTAAAACTAACATAATAACAGCAGAAATTACCCCTGAGACACGCAGCAGCAGTACGTACCACCATCTCGAAGCTTCCCCGCTGACAACTTCCTGAGGCATTCAGGACACCTCGTAAATTTTAACTTCCAAACCACTGACAGCTATTTTAAATTTTGCATTTTTTTCAGTTCATCTCAAAAACAATCATAACATAGAAATAAATAGTCGTTATAGGAATGAATGCACCATGCTTGCAGGTGACTAATAAACTAAAAATAAGTAATCTTTTATTACGTATCTGCTCATTTTGTTGCCTAAATGAGGCATTTCAGCTGTTTCTACTAAAACTTTGCATAAATCTCAATTACAAAATCTTTCGGCTCTGATGGCCGTCAGAATTTCTTCAGAACTATATCAAAAATAATATCAAAGTACATTTTAAATCACCAATGCTAAAGCAGGACGGACGTGCGCCATCTAGCGGATGTACCAAATACAACATGAACTGTTTCTCTGTGAAATGCATTTAAATTGGTAAAATAATCACAAAGCTACAAAAACCGCATCAGTTTATTAACCGTTCAAATATAAATCACCAAACAAATCATTATCAAGTCATCATACAGTACAAATCTTATGGTACAAATTATTAAATTAAGCACATTAAAAAATGGATCCAGCTGTTTGTTTTTTGTTTTTTTATTGTAACCTTTTCATAGTGGAAACTGCAAGTGTGAATACTTACTAGACATTTTAACCTGAGGCATCTTCACAGAGGCATTGTGGTGGATCTTGGTGGTTAATGGCCACACACCTGGGATAAGTGATATTGCTGTACCTGGCATTTCAAATCCATTGGTATCAACCTGAGTATATACATGCCAGCTCGAACTCGACAACTTATTTGTCCATGTGAACGTGAGCAAATTGTAGAAGAGGGAGGAGTATAGAAAAGCAATTCACAGATTTGAACACTTTGCTCACAAACCAAAGTCTGTGCCATTGAAAACACAAGGATCTGTATAAGCTTCAGTCATTACACGTGAGCCATTTAGACAGGAGAACTAACCCCATAATTAACAGTTGCACTAGACATAGTTATCAGAGCACTCAGTTGAACCCTCAGGCATTTGGCTTCATTGATCTGCTAGTCGTGTTATTCTGCATGTAGCAACTGGTACCGAAAAATAAAAAGAAATTGTGTTACAGGCATACAAAAGGTGCGGACACTACAATACACTTAACACAAACGAGAAAAACCAGGAACTGAATGAAAATTGTAGGAGACACTCCCAAGATTGTCAGTGCAAATCTAGCTAGAGTGCACCTGATTCATCACTTGTCTAACTTGCGTTCCTTTCAGAACACTAAACATGTCATCAGATTCCTCCCCCCCCCCGAGGGCTTCAAGTTTTATCAGACATAAGAAAAAAAAAAAAAAGATTCCCCAATTTTATTCATTTACAGCATAAACTTTAACGGAGCAGCAGGGGATACATAAAAAGAAAGGAAGGGGAAAAAAGAGGCAGGGGTGAAATGCATGGGATCAATATTTAACCAATGGTCTCATCGCAACAAGAGCTCATCTTTACCCTCATGACAAAATAAAAATCAAATCCTTACAGTTACAATGAAATAACCAATAACATAAGAGTAGTCATGATATAATAAAAGGCATTTCAATTCTCTTTGCATTTCTTCTTCTTCTTCTCCTCTTTTAAATACAGTGATGCCCACAGGCATTATTTACAACACCCCACACCCCTCTCCCTTCTGTGAAGAGAGGTGTGATGGGGTCAGTGAGGCCGACTGCTTGACTCGGAGGTCCGCCGCTGCCGTGGAGTGCTGTGGCCGTTCGTGCAGCCGTTGTGACGTTTGCTTGGTCCGCCGTTCAGAATGTCTTGGATGTGCTGTACTATCAAGTTGATGGCCACTGAAAGAGGAAATGGAAAGTTTGTTAAAGACCTTGAGATGCTGTGTGGCAGAGGTGTGTTATTTGTATCACTGGGGTCCGTTCTTCGTACCTCGATAAGTAAGTTAGCTGGATTTGATTGTTGACGAATTCGCGTGATCTCGGATCGTTCGGTTCTCCGAAGCTCATCCGGGACTTGCTGTCATAGCAACAGATCCGTAAGCGTAAACCTGCTCGGGAGCAGGTTTACTTTATGTAAACAAGATTAGATCGCGGCCACTCAGGTATGTCCGCTTCATTTATACGAAAGCAACAGCGATATTTTGTCACAGTTTTACCATAAATAAATATTATCAGTGTAACTAAAGATAATGCAGTACTTGATTCTTTTATTGATTTCATACAGATACATACAGGTCATTTCCTAAAAAAAGGGAAATGTACTATTAATCATTCTATTTCATGTATTTGATTATTTCAGATGTAAGTCATATGTTAGAGCAGTAATAGTAAATTACTTCGTGTAATCAAGATGAGAGACGACGGCTATAAAAGCGAAGGTGGATTTGGGAAGTCTGTCGCAGCCATGTCCTCTCCGTATACGGGAGCCACCCATTGCGGAAGGTGCAAGATTGATAAGGAGAGTCCTCAGAATTCAGCGTATATTGCGGGATAGACAGGATCCTTTAGCTCAGCGCGACAGCAAGCTGAATAGCAAGCTCAAAGTTAGCGCGATGATTTGATCTTGGATGTAGTAAGCGAGGTACGAAGAACGGACCCCTGGAGCGCAAACATGTTTGTTTTGCCTCGCACGGGCAAACTCAAGCACAATCCAAAGGACAAGTTAAACACGTTAGTTATTTGTAGGTTAAGATGTCACAATAATCACTGAGGCCTCACCAAGATTATCTGCTCCTCGTGGAATAATGACATCTGCATACTTCTTCGTCTGGTAGAAATAAGAAATGTTCTTATGATTAAATACAGCAGCTCAAAAACATTATAATATGGAACAATTCTTTATTCTAAACAAGTACAAGCACACAGCGCTCTCTAGTGGGCAAATATTTCTTGTTACCAAAAAAATAATTGCCTGTATCAGTGTTAAAACTAGAATGGTGTCAGTCCTGGTTTAGTGTCTCAACAAGACAGGAGCACTCACAGGTAAACAGAACTCCTCGAAGGCCGGCTTCACAAAAGTGATGTACTGACTGAGCACTTGCTCCAGGTCTCTGCCACGTTCACTGATGTCTCTCAGAACTGAAATAGAGACATGTTTTACATTTAGACATGAAAAACAAAAGTACACCAATGTAAAAAAAGAAACAAGAAACAGAAACACAACACACACACACACACACACTATGTGATGATAACAGACTGTCCAAATGTACTTTTGAAAACCAAAAGCACTTTAACAGTGCACTTAAGTGACAATCGTTACACTAGTGAGTAGCAACCCAAATCACGCTATACACCTCGACGCGACAGCCGTGTGTCGGGATCTGTGTCAACAAACAGCTTCATCTGGAACAGATCTCTGATTTCCTGCGAGTAGAACATGAGGATGCCCTCAAACAGGACCACATCAGCCGGATACACCATAACAAACTCGTCTTTCCTGGAACACACAGAAAGGTGCCTCTTCTCTGTGAGCGACTGCATTTACACGCGTGTCAAAACAAATTTAAGCATATTACACAATCGAAGTTACACATCAAATGCTTTATTTGTTTAACTGCATAAAGCCTCTGTTGTGCTTCTATGATCACATGATGAATTGTGGCCAAATTAAACAGCATGGTAAACAAAGAGGCACTCACCTGGAATGAGTGACAAAGTCATAAACTGGGATCTGGACAGTTTTCCCCTGAAGGATCTGTCTCAGTGTTTGTATGATCAGCTCGCTGTCAAAGGCATCTGAGGTCAAGAAAGGGAAAACCGAAAAATGCTCAGTTACAATTGGTCACACTTAACCTCCATCACTACAGCTCAATGTGCACCCACAGACACGTGGCACCGCTCCCCGCACGTTTGGTAACCCAGGAATCGCTTTCGTATAACATGTGTTGTGTTCAGTCTGAGCCTGGCAGCAGCTGCCTGAGGACGGCTTGCTGATGGTGCAGATTTAAAATCAGCCCAGAAAGGAAGCGAGGGTGAAAAGCCTGACTCCAAAAATGGACTCCAAAAGTTCTATGTATTGCTGCCACTGTTAGGTGTCATTTAACATATTTTATCCTCCAATTGTTTAACCGTAATCCACTTTGGACTGCATGTGCACATGAAAGATGCCATTTAGTTAATACAATAAGCCAGGTAAAATGACCTAGCCACTAAAACCTGTAACATGTAGCAAAGATTTAACGTGCATCATACCTGGATGATCAAAGTTAAACTGGCCCTTGAGTGCCTTGGCTTTCTGCTCAGGAGTCAGCACCTTGTAAAAGCTGTCCTGGCTGAGGATCGCCACCTGCCGCTGATGGTGGTCAATCTTGTTCTGTCCCAGGAGCTCCATGATCTTCTCACACACAGACGACTGTGGAAATGATCAAGAACATGACTGTCAGGAGAGTGCACCAAGAGGACTACTGAATACCAGTATCGGCCAAACATCAGCATGCTACATCCCATGTGGGCTAAATATCAACCCACATAGATTAAGATTTTAACCTAGAAATAATCTGGGTGAGTAAACATCCTGCATCACATTTGCAAACTGCTATAGGCAAACTGCCCTGTGGCCAACCTTTTTTGTCCTCACTGACCTCCCAAACTAAAAGAATCTCATGCCCAATGCTGACAGGGCATTCCCCCACTGCCTGAGGCTCTGCTTCCTTTTGTACCCATTACACTGTGCTACAACGAATTTAAACAGCTTCACACCAGAGCTGGAAGCTTGGGTCAACGCCCTCAAATGGGGTAGTTTCTGATAAAATGGACGAACTTTGAATGTACCCTTGAGCCACCCCAGTGACACAGCATCACTTTGAAGCTCTAACTTCTAAGTTTAGCCCTCTTGGAGAAATTCAAAATAAACTTTTTAAATACACTAAAGGGAAGACGTTTTACTTTTAAATATTAAGGGTATGTATATAATTTTATAATTATTTTTTTTAGTATTAATGTTTGTTTTTTTTAAAGAAAAATCATATTCATTATTTTGTTGCCATTACAGGCAGGGGGAGACCTTCAGCAGTAAGGCTAATGAATATGAAACAAAACTGGTATGTCTTCTAAATATACCAAACGCGGAACATGACATCACTCACACCCCGAGCAGCGTCAAACCGGAAACTGACAGGAAAACACTGACATAATGCCAATAACAGATGATACGGTTTAAAGAGCCAGAAAGAGGGCCCAAAGGAGATGAATGTACGACGGGATCACAACAAAGCCGCGAAAAGTAACATTCACCACCAATTTAGTATTGTTTACCTTGACTAACCTTCGCATTTAGCTAGTCTGTTATGTGAACTTTGATCACTGGTTTAATTCAAGGGGAGTTTTTTTCCCCAGCCGCCCACGGTTTAAAAAAAAAAAAAAAAAAAAAACCCTAAAATTCATAACAAAGAAATGTGACGACGTGTTTGGAGAAATAGCCACGTCTGTGTTTAAGAGTCAGCGCCACCGTGTGCGCTGGCAAGTTTAGCTCTGCCCACGCGCGTGCTTCTTTGTGCGAGGCTTTTAATGCAACTCGGTCAAATTAAAATAGAATACAATAAGCTAAGCTAATACTTCTTGAATCGACGTGTGTGTGTGTGTGTGTGTGTGTATATATAATTTTTTTGTTTTTTTTGTTAAAAAGGCATCTAAGGTTTCACATATTAAGGAGAGATGAGCGACATCTTTTTCCACAGTGATTTCCACAATGGGTTCAGTATATTATTATCCAGTAAGCCACCATGTAGGTTACCGTTATTTAACGTTAGCAGTTATCCCGGGTCAAAGGGGAAAAAATCTGACGTCAAACAACTATCAATTTAACGCTGCTAAAATATTATTCATTTGACAGATATGTGGCTCACACTGTTTACAAACACAGCCCACCTAGCTTAGAGTTGGGTTAGCACTAGCTATTGTCTTAGATCTCCCGGCACTGCTAGCATGTGATGGAATTTATCGTTAGCTCGGGGGCTAACTAAGCTAACATTATTACCATCCATTGTCATTTTAGTTTATCATTATCATTATTATTTCCGTCACAAAAAAGAAGAATATTGGACCAACTAAAGTCAGCGTTCAGCACCACAGACAGAGCACCAGTGCGCTAAACTATTGTGAACTGTCAATCAAGCCTCACTGCTGCGTCGCTGAAGCCACGCGGTCAGCCGGCGAACTCAGCTGCGAGCATCAGCCGTCAATTAACTCAAAATTCTCAACGTGTCACTACGTGAAACCCGTCAAATTAGCTCACTAGAACGCTAACCTTGCCGCTGGCAGTGCCACCGGAGACACCGATGAGGAAAGGTTGCCGAACAACCTGGGTGTTCTCGCCGCGGTCCCCTAAATGTGTCTCACTGTCTCCAGCCATACTTGTAATGTGCTCCTCCAGCCGCTGAGCTGGAACGTCGTTATGATGTAGCTCCTCCCACAACGCTGCCCTTTATTTTAAACAACTGCAATTTTAATTATATATTTTTATTTGCTTGTATTTATTAAGAAAGTTTTACAGCCATGCAATAGTTACTGACGTTTAATTATGTTTAACATATGAGAGTATATTCGTAAAGCCGCTTTAAGTGATCGACAGTGAAACTATCCAATCGTATAGTACGTTCAGACGCCACTGGCCTGTTAGCGCCGATTGGCTTTCGGCTGAAATTTGGCCCGCCCCTTGGTGAATCGTCAGAAAAGTACCGTTGTAATGGCAACTAAACACGATATTCTCAATTGAGTTGAGATTGGACTCTTCGAAAACAAATTAAACGTCTTATAGGTATGTTTTCTCAAAACTTAAATCCAATAATGACATTTTAAAAGTGACAGTAAAGTGAAAGAGTCGTTAGCACATAACTGTTTGGCGGAGTTGCTTGTAATCGAGTCAGACTCCTTTTTAGATTTTCCAGCGTTATCGGTATAGTGACGTTAACCCGCATACTGCATGTTTTACAGTCATCAGTAACACTTGAAGCTACGGGACGAGCTCCAATATGCTCCGGAGACTCGCTAGTCTCCCTCTGCGGCGCCCTGCAGCTGCTCTTCTGGCTGCTGGAGTGAGGTGCATCTCCTCCGGCTCGGTGGAGATCACCCTCCCGCTTAACTTCTGGGCTGGGAAGAGGAGGACAGGCCCTGAGAAATGCAGCAAGGACATTGTTTACGAACCTGCAACCGGTAAAACACACAGCTCGTAAATACTGAAAAAAAAGTACTGACCCTGCCTTATCACCGGACTTTGGCCATTGCTGTGTGAATATGTATGTCTGGTAATCTTTAGTAGGGGAAAATGATTTCAACGTTACTTTCTGAATGATTAAAGTCTTTTTGTCAAATACACCTCTAAACTTGGTAACTAGTTTTTCAATAAAAGTAAACTTTCTACACATGTTGATTGATATACTGTATCCAGTTAGTCACTGCTATAGACCAGCAGTCCTGTATGGACAGTGTTATCTCTGCACAGCTTCATTGGAGCAGAACCAAGACATGAGAGCACATCATTATCAGTTAATGATGCCTGATAGTCAGCCTGCTGCTCCGTGCATTACACATTTTTAGTCCAATTATATTCTGATGCTCTTTGAGGCCCGGTCCCTGTTTTTAATTCAACTCTCTTAACTCCATCTGAGCCAGCACAGAGCCTGCATGCAGCCCCACCCTTTATGCATGGTGCTCTTTATCTAATCACAGTTACCATCACTGAAAATGACATTTCCAGCTCTAAAGTGTAAGCAAGCCACAAAATTCACAGCACAGTTGCCTGTAGCTGCTGTAGGCCGATAATTATTTTTCCTTCACATCAAAGAACGACTGGAATCATAGAGATGACTGTGTCAAATGGAAACTGTGTGCAACCTGTTGTTTTCATGAAAGTCCGCCTACTTGGACGCTTGAGCTATCTTACATTCCATGTTGTAGGCCGTGTCCTGTGCCAGTTGGAGCCTTGTGGTGCTGTGGAGGTGGATCAAGCTGTGAAGGCTGCCAAACTGGCTTTCGGTTATTGGAGCAAAATGTCGGGGATGGAGAGGGCAAGGGTCATGATAGAAGCTGCACATATAATTGAGGTGTTTGTTGTTTATATGTTTTTGTTTTGTTTTTTAGAATGAAGAACAGCTCAACAAAGTTGTTGTTATATCTTGCAAAAGGAAGATCTCATGAGTCATCTAATATATTAGATTGCATATGCCCTGATTTTAATGCACAGAGCAAAAGAGAGGAAATAGCTGAAATGGAGGTGGTCAATAATGGGAAGTCCATCACAGAGGCCCGTCTGGATGTGGACTCTGCCAGACTGTGTATAGAGTACTATGCAGGACTGGCCAGCACTTTAGCAGGTTGGTATAGCTATCGTATATTTTTGCCATATTTATATGGCTTTATAAATGTCACGTCAGCCTTTGTTTTACCTTGTCAATGCTTCTGTTTTCCTTTATCAAGGCCAGCATGTCCAGTTGCCTGGGGGATCCTTTGCATACACTCGCAGAGAGCCGCTGGGAGTCTGTGTTGGCATCGGTGCTTGGAATTATCCCTTTCAGATCGCTGCCTGGAAGTCTGCTCCAGCCCTGGCCTGCGGTATGGGTTTCTTCCACGACCAAAACACCAGTGGCCTTTGTTGGTTTGCTACATTTAAGAAAATCTCTTTAAACTCCTGGAAAATGAATCAGTACATTTTCTTAAGAAGTTAGACTGTTTTAAATGCACTTTAGAACAGCACGCAGCAACACTACATATGAGCGGGCGGAGGGAGGTTTGGGGTCCTCACTCACTCCCGTTCTGTTAACCTTTGGGGCTGGGGGGCTGGGAGAAGGTGCTGGCCGTCAGATTGGGGTCTGGGATGCGGGGTCTCTCTCTCTCTACTGCACATAAGGAGGCGGTCTGCTTTGCTCCACCCCAGAGAGAAGGGTTACATTTCCTTGGTCCGGGTATGGTTTGCCCCTCTGGGGGCAGGGGTACCCGGACCTGGGATATAGAGTATGTTTGGGGAGTGTGAATGTGTGTACAGTGTCTATTTGTGTCTGTCCCCACGTCGGATGAGTGCCGAGTATTTGATTGTGTATATGGGGGTGGGAATGCACGTTTGTGTCTGCGTGCGCCTGTTCATCTGTGTCTATATGTCAGCTTGGGTCTTAGACTCCACCTCTCTGGGAACATCTCAGGCTCTCCGAGGTATGGAGGCCTATCTCCCCTCACCACACTCCCTACCAGTGGCTGATGCCCTCAGACGATGGTGGTTCTTGGTGTCTGGGGCTAGGCGCTCATGTATGTACCGACTCACTCCTGGTGTCCAATTGGCGGGGCCTGGCGCCTGTGGCCCAGCTGGGCCCCTTCCAGGGGGTGGGGTGCCCTCAGGTCTCTGGCATCTGGGCCTGAGGCTCGGTCCTCTCTGGCACAGCTGGCTGCCAGCAGAGCCCATGGGCACGTCACTGCAACCCCCTCTGGCCTTTGCTCCGTGACCTCTCGTTTGGGGCTCTCCTCAGCTCTTCCCAGGAGGGTGGCGCGGTTGCCCCTGTGGTGCTCCTCCTTGGGTCCTCGTACTCTGGGGCCTCTGGATGTCTGGGGCCTGGATCTCCTCCATACCTGCTTCATGCCCTGGGGGACGGGGCTGTGGCTCCCCACACTCCCTAGCAGATCGTTACATGGAGAAACCTTTTGAATACAAGCGTGCTGATCCACACAGGTGTGCACACAGGTGTACACACAGGTGTACACACGGGTGTTCACAAACACAAACTACACCTTTCTTGGCTGCTACCTCAAAGCACATTGTGCACTGTCAATCTTGTGTACTGCACAATAGCATGTAATATTTAGTATCTACTGTTATCTACTATTAGCTAGTTTATTGTGATGGTGGTGTATTTATTATGTTGCTCTGTTTTGTTCGTTTTCTCTTCTGTTTTTTTTTGTTTTGTTTTTTTTATCTCCATACAGGTGATCCAGGTGTTTTGTTTGGTTTTCTTTTTTTTTTTTTCTTCCCCCCTTTCTCACCATCTCTTCTCCCCTCTATTTTTCTTTCTCTCCCTCTCTTTCTTTCATTCTCTCTCCCTGTCCTATCCCCCAGTCATGTCTGTCCCGTCTGTAACAACCAAAAATAAAATAAAATAAATACATAATTACAATAAAGGTCAATCAAATGGACCAATATGGCAAGGCCATGATGATCCACTTGGTAAAGTAAATCCGCTTGGCATCTTTCTTGGCCTTCAGACAACAATTCTCACGGCTAAAGATCCAAATGGAACAGGCAAAAAAAAAAAGAAAAAAGAAGTTAGACTGTGGGGTGAGGAAAGGGCATCTGAAGTTAGGATAACTGCACGTTCTAGCAAATGAACAGCAAGACTATGTTTTGTAAGGTCACTTGACATAAACTGCTGCGCTACTAAAACTAAAATGTGGGTGTTACCATCTTTAAATGTCAGCAATTCATTTGAGCACAAAACAGTTCAGAAAATAATTACAGCATTTCACCTTTAGATAGCATTCCACAGAGACTGATACAACTGAATGTGCAGACTTATTAAAAGAATTCAAACAATCCATGTTTTTCTTTGTCATCTTTTCTCCATATTAGGTAACTCCATGGTGTTTAAACCGTCACCGGTGACACCTGTGACAGCAGTCATGCTGGCAGAGATCTACGCCAAAGCCGGAGTTCCAGAGGGGCTCTTCAATGTGGTCCAGGGGGGCCAGGAAACTGGCAGCCTCCTGTGTCAACACCCTGATGTTGCTAAGGTGTCTTTTACTGGTAGTGTGCCCACAGGACAGAAAGTACGTGGTATTTTAGACTTCTTGTGACTAGGACATTTAATAGTAAACAATTGGGATTTGTAAATGTCGTGGTAACGATGCCGACGTCTTCTTTATATGTCTTAATAACTGGATGTTTTTCCATTTGCTTTTGTGCCACAGATCATGGAGATGGCATCTAAGGGGGTCAAACCAGTGACTTTGGAGCTTGGAGGAAAATCTCCACTGCTCATATTTAAGGACAGTGATCTGGAGAACGCTGTGAGGGGAGCTCTCATGGCCAACTTCCTGTCTCAAGGCCAGGTAGTGTATCTTTTTTTTCATATGCTGTTATATTTTACCATCACTCTATGGTTCAGCTTGTGTCTGGTTCACATTGAAGCCTGTTACTTGATAGTGTTGTATATCTGCATCACAGGTGTGCAGCAATGGTACGAGGGTCTTTGTTCAGAAGGATATTCTGCCTGAGTTTGTGAAGGAGGTGGTAAAGAGGACCCAAGCGATCGAAATAGGAGACCCTCTTTTAGAGAGCACCAGAATGGGGGCACTGGTCAGCCAACCACATCTGGATAAAGTCCTGTCTTTTGTTGATCGAGCAAAAAAAGAGGTAAGACTCGTTCAAGGAGTTCTTTTTATTTTGTCAGGTGTACACCAGTAGGATTATGTGCAG